TAAAAGGAGTATGATGGAAGATAGTTCTTAATCAGATATACTCTGAAAATACACGTAGTGTATATATGCATATATGTACTAAGAGTGCACACGCACTTAAAGAAAGACAAGATGATAGGGACTGCTAATGTTTTTGTTACATAAACCTCTCTACTATTACAACATCTAAGTGTAAGTGTTTTCATAGGAAGAGATAATATAGCTTGCCCAGTATATAATTTGGGGGGGTTGTGTTGGGGGTTTCTTAACGTTTGAGTAGTGTTGAGTGAAATCCAGTTGCACTATATTGTGTGTCCTCTTCACTACTTTATGTTCATAAATAGGTACTTTGTTATCAACTGATGAGGTTGATCTGGGTTTCCCACATGGTTCCTCATTTGTCCTCCTTGCATACCACGTGTCCAAGAACCCCCTTGTTATGTCTGTTTGGCAGAAAAGGGAGATTATTCTGGCACTGGCTGCATCTAATGCAACTCCCTGATACTCTTACCTGCAGGGGTTTGCCTTGGGTATTCTATGTGTCTGTTTTCAAAGTTTAAAGAACTGCATTATTTTACCTTGAGAGTAGCATTTCTGTGTCTACTAGGGAATTAGACCCTTGTGAATATATCTGAAATGAGAACTATAGCACTGGGGGGGTTAATTGGATGTGATGGATACGTTTGCAGTGATTCAAAGAAGAGGTATCATGTGATCTCCATTTTACTTGGTTAGCCTTTCTCAAAGCCACTTGTACTTTTAGCAGGAAGATGAACTTGGTGTAAGTTTGTAAGAAAGATTTCGTAAAGCTATAGTTTTGGGGTTTTTTTCCTTTAGGAGCCAGAGAATATGGATCATGCCAAAACTGCTTTGGTTAAGCGGCATAATTTCCAAACAGCATAATGATAATGAAAGTGGCATATGACACATTACGCCTGTGTTATTTTGCATCATCAAGCCAGAAAAGTAGACATTTAGACCAGTTTCAATGTGTTTTCATACAACATAATGCTTAAACAAGCATAATGCTCAAGCCTTGTAGACAAGGCCATATGGAAAGAACTTTGAGGAGTGAAGGGGCTAAATATGCCTCAGAAAGTCTTAGTGAGAGTTTGTTGATGTAATATATATGTTGAACGAGCTGGAAGAGGGTGTAATATGCATCAGCTTAGACTTCATTTAATCTCATTTGGACTCTCCATTGAATTTGGTCTTGTCTCAATAAAGTACTGTCTTTGCTATGAAAGAATCAAAACAAGTCCATGAATGAAAGAAACCCTGACCCTGCTGAAATCAGAGACAAAACTCTCATTGAGAGCCAGGATTTCATCTCACATGCCTAGAATTCTTGCATTCAAGAATATTGCAAAGCCCCCATAAGATTTCTGCGTAAAAAGAGCTCCAAAGTAATGTGTATTCCTCTGCTCACAGACCTTCCCGTAAGGAAACTACCCACCTTCATAGTGAATTAGGGCCTTGGTTTTCACGGGTTCCTGCTTTCTTTCCCTGAGGCAGGTCTCTGAAATCAAATGCTCTGTGTGTGTTATAACTATTTCCAGGGTTTTGTGGATGCGGCTGAAAGCTCTGCTCTGTAAAACAGCTGTGCTTTGGCTGTTTCATGACTTTCGGTTTTGTGCAGGAAATAAGGGCTACACATCTGGACAAGATGATGAATGATAGTTTGACAAAACCTGAATAGGACTTAGGGTTTCAGGTGCTGTTGAGCTCTTTTTCCTATGTCTATTCAGAAGTAGAGCAACTAAATTGCAAGTTGACAGAAGGCTTGGTGTTGGTTGCATATGGGTTCTTTGGCCTGGTTCTGTGAACTTGGCTTGTGAATCCCACAATGAGCCCAGTGGTGAACACTTCAGAAGGCGGCAGGAACCTGCATTACACTATGCTGTGTATAGGCAAGCAATTATATTCCTGACTGCTAGGGGAACCTTATCGAGCTATAGAAAACGGGAACTACCTGATGGAGCAAACAGAATGAAAGAAAAAAAGCCTCTGAATTTCACTTCTGAGGCTGCTGTGCTCAAGTGATTGATTTTTATATTAAACTTACTCCGTTATCTCTTAACATTCCCCAGCCACCTACACACACACACACATTCAACTTCATGCCAGGGGTGTGGGAACTAGTTTTTCCTACAGTGTTGGCGAACTGGAGTGCTCTTGTTGCTTTGTGGAGTTAACACTAGTTAGGGCATATCTGAGACAGTAAGAGAGACTTTCCTGTGCCGGCACAGCAAGGAACCCAAATTCAGAGCATGCACAGCTCCTACTTTTATGTAAAGCTGCAAGGAGGCCGGCCGTGAAGCCCTGGGAGGCAGGTATAGGCAGGCTAGCAGCTCTGCTTTCCTGTATGCATATGCACGTTCCACAGATGTTGGCACTGCTTTCATAAATTGTGGGTGATTTTACAGCAGCATCTGAAGGACTTAAGCCTCGTTATTAGAGTGGGCTCCTCAGGGATGATCTAATGAGAATCTAAGTAGATGTACCATTCCCTCCTGCAGTGGTTGGAGGTAATGAGACTGCCATCCCAGAAAGTGTAAAGGAGAGTAATTTGTCAGTACTAGTAGGAGTCATTAGGAAGAGAGAGACTGCACAGGAACCCCAGGAAAAACAAGCCAACAGAGACATCTGTAAAGCAACACGTGCAGGATGATACCACGCTAATTGTCTGCCTCGTACTGTATGCATTATACAACATTATTTGTTCTCTATAAACAAATTATCTGTGTACCAGATACAAGATTAGCCAGTGTATATTTATGGATGTGAGCATATTTAGTTGCCTCTGGTTGAGATAAAGAGGTGGATATAAGAAGAGTTTCTTCCCTGTATTTGTAGCATTGGTGATAGAGGCATTGTAAATTGAACATGCCGACATTTTGACTACCAGTTCCCAACAGGTAAAATGTACTTGTGACTCCTCTATTATGACAGTCCACAGGTCAATAAATCCCTTTTGATTCTTCTCTTTCATTGAAAGTACTAATTGCCAGCGGAAGCAGAAAGGCAGAATAACATGTCTCTATAAAGGTTATAAATTTTAGAATTAATTATATCTTGAGGCCATCTCAATACTGATGGTTTTTTCCCTATAAAACAATGATTTTGCTGACAAGTAACTCATCATTTCTCAGTAGAAACAAAAGACATGAGTAAAATCAGCTTAACCAAGTTAGGTGTTTCACCATCACAGTATTTCAAAGGCTGGACAAGTAGAACACAATATTGGAATTGCCAAGTAAAGAACCATAGATTGAGATACGACAATATTATTTTAAATAATTGTTCATACTGCTTTTCAGAGTTAGTAAACCTAGCACTTACTGTTACCTGGCCAGAAGCTCAGCATCGCTGCACCCAAAATAGAAAACCACCATCAACTCATGTGGTTGAAAAAACATCATGTTTGGGGGATATCATGTCCATTAAGTCATTCAGGGCTGAAATATCCAAGTGGTAAATACAGAATTTTGCACATGCCTTCTTCTGGACAAATTTTGTACAGCCAAGCCCCCTGAACTGTGCATATGTGCAGATGGACTAACTTGTATGCTGGCAGAGGCCTCTGTGGCACACCTCTCTCAGTGAGGTTTGTAAAGAGCATTTTTTTTTTCTCCCTTCTGGTGCCTTTTGGATTGGCAGATGACCATTCAAATAAAAGAGGAACTTTTGTGCAAAGAAAACTTCCTTTCCTCCCCCTCCCCCAAATATATAAATAAGAATTGTGCTGAGTCTAAGGGTTTGGGTCCTCTAACGGGACATAGGAAACCTGTAGCTGAAAGTAGGCCTGTAGTTTCTTTTTTGTTGTGTTTTATAGCCCTCCTGTACTTCCCGCCCCCCCCTCTTTTTTTTTTTTTCTTGCATTGTTAATCAGCTTTTCTAGGTTTCTTTAAGCCCATGTGCATACCTGAAAAATTGAAGGGGTTTCATGCCCCCTACTCTTCACCATTGTGGTCACTCACACCGATGTAAAATAAGCACCCATGTGGACGGTTTTTGCTTGTGCGAGTTTGCACTAGTGTGAAGAATGGCACAAAGTAAAAGGCACCAACATTCTTTTATGGTACACACACAGTCATGTGTTTGGACATCTGGCTATTAAGTCTTGATGTTTGGGGATCAACCAGCATGGTTCTGCAACAGCCCTCTCGCCCTGACAGACACGGGAACTTTCAGGGCAGTTGGATTGCTGTGGTGAATTGTTAGGAGGCAAAGAAACAGTCCTGGTAAGAGTAATCCTACAAATGGAACAAACTGTGCGTGCAAAATGGAATTTAAGTTTTTAGTTATTAGATTCAGATTTGCCAAATCAGCAGTGGTGAAGTATTGTCACCAGAGCCAAATTTGCCATTGGCAGAGATTTGGGATATGGGTGCAGCCACTGGATGGGCTGCATTGCTTTACAAATTATTTTCCTATATCAAAAATTTCCTACCAAAGAGCTTAGAGTGTGTATAGAACAATTATGCCTTTTGATATGGGCCAAGTGACCTAACAGCTATTTTCCATCTCTAGCTTCTGTATGCTTTTGGTTTAGGGAACTGTAGTAACTGCCAGCATCTGCTTCTATCTGCTTGGGAGTTGGTTTCATTTTGGGTTTGCGTATCAACTACTATGCTCTGTGCCTGTGACTTTTAACTCCAAATATCAATCTCCGTACTAAATTATTGCCAAGTAACCTTCCATTCTTCTTTTCCACGCTGCCCATCTAATCACCCGCTGCGAGCACACAGCCCCTGCCTGCATGCCGTCAGAATGAGCCTGAGCTGCTCATACCTCAACTCCAGCCTGAACATGAATTTTTGTCTCTGCAGGAATATCAGGGGGAAAAAAAAGTCACCAGGGCTACCAGTTCTTGTTATTGTTTGTATTTATATTTTTGGTTCAACTTCTTTTCTCCCTGGAGGTTTTGATTCCACCGATTTTGTTTGGGTTTGATTGGGCTTGCTTTTTTTTATTGCTTTCCCTCTTCTCATTTTGTTTTCTCCATTCTTTCATTGGAGGCAATGAGCCGTCCAGCGGTCGGAACTCCCCTGTCCCCTATCGGCCCGACAGCCGCCCTCTCACTCCAACTTACGCTCAGGCCCCTAAACATTTCCATGTTCCAGGTAGGAGCTGGCACTGTATGTGTCTTGGTGTCCTGTCACAGTGTAGAATGTAGCCTTTGTAACTTTTGTCTTGTCTCCATCGTTTCATGCTGTTTACCATGAGGTGCACCCACAGGGTTTGGAACGGCTCCTGGGCTTGCTGAGAGGGGTAGTGCCTTAAGAAATGGAGGGGGAGTTTCACCGTTATTTTTACCTAGTCTGTTGGTCAGGTGTTTCCTGTTAGAATGCCTTGATTTTCAGGGTCTGTTGATGGCCATGAGTTGGATATGAGCTACGTAGGGTTTGACTTTTCTCACAGTTGCACCAGCTGAGCACCGGCATAACTCTGCTAACTTTGGAGGAGTTGGTTTTGATTCACAGTGGCATGCAGAAAAGAGGTGACCAGTGAACCATTACATATGTTGTTCATTCAGATTGTTGTGACTTGTTTCAGTCTTGAACCAAGCAGTTCTAGTTTAGTGTTCCCTTTTTTTTAAAGCAGATGAGGATGTTTCTTTACTTGTTTTGTGCAATGGCTTAGTGTCCTCAGGGAGACCTGCAGATCCACAAGGTTATGTTCTCTCTATAAAGGGCAGTCTCTGTTATAACGTGAGCTGCACAGTTGTTACAGCTTCGGAGAAGCTCATCTGTCTTGGATTTTGATGAGTTGAAGGTGGTGTGTCCCTAGCGTTGTTGACATGCATCTTCTGACTGCATCAGTGCTAGCTGAAAGCCTTATTATATCCAGTTATTCTTCAGGTCCCCTTCCGTCTAGTATCCCTTTGCACTGCCAGAGGTTACTGCTCTTCTTCCTTTCCTCAGATCAGGCAGATAAACTGTTTGTCGGAACTTTTTTTTCAGTCCGTGTGACCTGGCTTGGCTAATGTAGGCTGTTTTAACTGCTGAAGCTAACCTGGCTCACTTTGACTTGCGTAAGCTAAAGCGCACTTGCGTGAATAGCTCTGAGTAATAATTTCTAGCATGGTGGGAGAGCTGTCCTCTTCAGCTGGTGCAGTGCAGCCACAGAAGGAGCTGTGTTCCTATCCTCCTTATAGCTTTCTGGTATAGATGTGCGCAAAAGTGCTGCATGACTACCCTTGTAATTTTTATACCTGTTTGCTGGTCAAGTAGCCATAACACTAACAAGAATGAAATACCTCAGTGTCTTTGGGAGCAATGAATTTGCCTGTTTAGTCAAGGATGTAGGGTTCTGCAGAGTAAGTTTTGCCTCTGTTTCAATAGATTTTTAGGGTTAGCTTTCCTTAGTGCCAAAGGCTAAGTTGTCTCCTGTAGCACTTTAATTGGATCTGTGATACACAGCTTGTATTTCTAAATGCTTTTTCACCTTTCATTCTAATGTAACTGAAAACTTTTTTCGGGCAGTATGAAGTAGCAAAATGGGTTTCTGACATTAATTTTCTAGTTCCCCGTAGCTCATTTTGGTCTTCTAATAAGATTTTGACAGATCTTTGCACTGTAGCACTGATTTTGGATTAACTTTTGTATTTGTAGCTGTGCTGAATACATGAAGTGTTGGCTTGGGTGGGAAGGTAGTTTAGAATGAACTGTCTCCTGTCTTAGATTATTATTTGTAAAAATACGATATCTTTTAGAAATGCTGTAGATTTACTGCACTAGAGTTCTGGGAAGTGTTTTTATTCTGATTTACATTGATAATGTGCAATTTGGTGGGCCTTACGTAAAAAAAATCACAAAATAAGAAATAAAATCTATCCTTGTGGTTTTAGAATTAGTAGTATATCAGTTAACACTGCATAAAGCATCCCTTTGACTCACTGAAGTGTAGCTGTTGTTGACTGTTCAAAACAGTGTATTAGGCAGCTATTTTGTTCTCTGGATTTTGAAGTGAATTGTAGGCTCACTGCATTCTCCTCTGCTCAATTCAGCCAGCCAGTTGGAAAGAAAATTGAGCTGTTACGAATGAAGCACGATTTTCCACAAAAGTTATTTGGGGTAGTTTTCCCCAAATGGCATGTATTTTCACCATTGAAATGTCTTGCTTGTTTGCATTTCTTCTCTAACTTTTATCCCACTGATTATCTGGTGAATGTTTAAAACGAATGGTTCATGACTTGGATGTATCCACATGTTACAGAATCAGCTCCAAAGGACTTCATACCACATGTCTTTGACTTTTCACTTGTTCTTATGTTTTCTTTTCTTTAAATAATCTGATTTTGTATAATACTAGAAATAGCTTTCTGGCTTTTTTTTGTGCTACATCCTTGATTTGGTCCGTCTGTTGTTTTAGTGTTGGAGTTATCTTTAGCTACAACTGAAGTAGTTTTCATATTCTCATTTTTCTGTTTCCCAATTTCACAGATCAAGGTGTCAACATTTACAGAAAACCGCCAATCTACAAACAACATGGTAAATTATCTTTCCCTTTTTATTTCAAAACTGGAGTGTCAACTAAATTAAAAGGCATGCAGACTAGTGAAAAGCATTCAGTGTTTATTTTGTAAGCATTAAAAATTAGTAGTCTAAGCTTGAAACAGCTGTTATTGCATGTCCTGCTGAGTGATTATGTTTTAAAGCATGTTGTTTCATTTGGATCATTTGGTTTAAATCTTGGCCACGTTGATATTAATGGCAAAATTGCCATTAACTGGGATTTTGCTGTCTCTTTAGCATTATGATGCCTTCCTGTATTTGACTTATTTAAGTTTATATTTTCAGAATACAGGTACTGATCATGTTAAAATGGATTAACAACAAACTGCTCTCTGACAGGGACTTCATGGAATATCCTTAAACAGACAAAGTACAATAATTTATTTCAACAGCAAAGACGGAGATGATATTATCAGGCTGGAATTCCAAATGTACCTGTGGCTTTAAATAAGAATCTTTAATTATTGAAGACAATGTAGGTGACTTATCACTGACAGGGCTAATTTGATTCTCAAGCCCTGTGATATAGCTCAGGTGGTTTGGATTCTGAGCTGGACAGCAGTGATAGTGCTCTAATCTTTTTGGTGTAGATGTTGTTATAGCAAGTCTGAAATAACAATGATGGCAGAAGCCCACTGCATTGCCAGTCTTTAGTACTGCAGAGCAAGGTCCCGGTTATAACTGAGTGTGTTCACTCTTCCCTTCTGCTGTGAATAGACTTTGAATAGGAGATGATTTTTATGTAATATGGTGAAAAACGGATGACTCCACTTTTTAAAGACTTTGAGTTTGCATCCCTTTGCAGACCCTTTATCCAATGAAATGTATTTAGGGTTAAGTAGCAAATTAGCAGTACTCTACAGGGTTTAGAAGAACAGTTGGCTGAGAGTCATTGAGCTGAGATGATTAGGAAAGCCCGGGAAGTCCATTCTGTAGTCAGGAGTGAGCATTGCAAATAACACTGCTGTGGTTTTACATCAGGGTTTTTTCCTCTTTCTTTTTTAAGTTTCAAACCACATGCTCATTTTGGAAAAGGTCTTAACATTATTTTTGTTTATTTTTATGGTTTTAATGTATCTCCTCACCTTCCATTAACATGTGAATGTTTAACCACTGACATCACCAATTCTAATACGTAAGTACTGTTTGAAGTCATGCTTTTGTAAACTCTGACCAGCTTCCTCCATACTTGCAATTAAGCTTAGAGTTTCCCAATCATAAAATGCTCAGAATTCCCAATGATATTTAATACTGATGTTCCTAAACTACCCTGAATGTGTTGGATGAGCAACACAATGTTTCACTTCGTGAACAGATGTCTTTCTGTTTAAAAAAAAAGAGAAAAGGAAAAAAAAATCCAGAATTATTGCTTCTGATATGATAGCTTCGTATAAGAGAAGGTGATTTGAGCAGATTTGAGTCTGCAGATAAGAGGTGGTTAAGGCTGGTTTTAATGTACACTGAATCCTATTGGATTTATTTTTTTTTAATGTCAGGAAGTGAAAGGCATAATGCACATCCTCACATGCTTTTAAGAGACTTTGGCTTAGACTGGAATCTCAAGTGGATGCCCCACTGCTGAGATATTTTATTGGTGAGGTTCATTTCATTGCAAGTGCCTTTCCCTGCTAAGTTGATCTGAATGGAATTTAGTATTTATTAATAAATTCACATCTGCTTTTACTACTACTGCATGCTAATAAGCAAGGGCATGCAGCAAAAAAAATCCACTGGTTAAATAAACATGTTTGTTTCAGATTTCTTTGTTTGTTTTGCAGCTTTTCACAGAAACATAGGAAATAATTAGCATCAGTAGAGTTAAAATTAGTGCCATTCCTCTAAACTGTTTGTTTTCTTGCCCTAGAGGGAAGACAGACCAGTACATAAATCTGATTTCATCTTCATTAATAACCAGCTGTCCTTAGGAGATATTGGCAAATACTGTTAGATTGAATTTTCTTACTCTTGCCTAATCATTCTAACACTGTGCAACCCTAGTAAAATCCAAAGCTGATTTGGGGTTATTTTGGGGGTGGGGATGAGGGAGGAGAGGAAGGTTTGATTCCAATCTATTGGCAAGAGAAAGACATTACTTTGTTTCAAATTGCAATTAGAAAAGCAAAATATGAAAATGTTTTCTTTTGAAAATTAACTTCTTGTAAAGCATAAAATTTTGCCAAAATAAGGAAGACCTTTATATTGATAAAGATTATTACATAGCTAAGTTCCCTGATTGCCATCTAGATGCAGCTGCTTTGGCAGCACAGAGCAAGTCCTCCGAGGATATCATCAAGTCCTCCAAGTTCCCAGCAGCTCATGCACCAGCACCCAACGAGATACCAAAGATTGAGACGGACCACTGGCCAGGTCCTCCCTCCCTTGCGGCCATAGGTATGCGAAAAAAATGATACAAGCGAAGCGGCTTAAAACGTACTGGTAACCAAAGTAGGTTAATACTGGAGCTGTAAAAATGGGTGGTGAAGATTGTGTCCACTCCAGGTGTTCGCCACAAAGTGCATTTCTTCTGGTGAGACCTTGAGTGTCTGTGAATTTAAAACTACTGAATAGCGCTGAGTAGAAGAGGTTTTGCTGAAGGACTTTGGAATTGATCACACAGATATTAACCCATAGCCAAATTATGTGAACTCCCGTGCAGTAGCTTAAAAACTGTGGTGTGTCACACAAGCCTGACTTCTTTCAGTTATTGTCTATTTAATCTTTTAGTCCTAAGCTAATAGCAAATATTCCACAGAAAATATGATTGCTTCCAACCACATGACTATTTTCATGGCAAAAAGCGATGACTGAAGTGGAACAGTTAACGGACTAAAAAAGTCCTGATTTTCAGAGTTACTGTTTCTACAGACTTTGTATTTTTCTTCTGTGTTGTTGCACTACAGGTGTCTCATTTTCTTTTCTTTAAATCATGTGCATGATAATTTTGAAATTTTTTTTGTTTTGTATTTTTTATTCTCTGTTAATTTTTATTGACTCCCATAGCAAAAAATAAGCTATCTAGCCTGGTTCATTTATGAAGTCATGTCTGAAACACTGAAAGTGTTGCCTGTTTCAGGTTTCTGTGAAGGAGTGTATGGTTTTCAGCGTAACGGGATTTTCGTAGAAGTGCTAGGAGAGAAGACATAGGGTGGCAGAGCTCAATGGCCAATTGAAGGGGCTGCATATGCAGTGGCAATTTTTTGAAAATGTCCTTTATATAGGATTGCAACCGGACAAACGTTACAGTCATAACAGTGATACATCAACATACATACAGTGATAACATCAACATATTTGAAACTCTCCTGACAATGCTTGTGATAACGACAGCATTATTATGCCGTATGTCTGAGGTGGGGCCTTTGTTGGAAATTTTGGCTCTCAGCTCAGTCTCTAGGCAGTGGATGACAACTTTTAATGGTTTCCAGTAAAACTGCTTTGTATATTGGCTATCAGGTGATTTTGTTACACCTTAGAAACTAAACGGGACTGTTTGGAAACTATAAACATAAAAATGTGCTCATGGACATATTTTATTCAGAAATAAAAAGGCATCATACAAGATTAATCACTAAAAAACAAACCCACAAGCCCCAGGTTTTTCAGCTTGTTGTCTGATTTTCTGAGTGTGATATTTTGCTTACAGAACTAGAATGAGCTCAGCTGTCAGAAAAATGAGTATTACTGCTATTGTACTGAAAAGTCTTGCAAAAGCCTGAGACACCAAACAAAATAATGAATAATTTAAATACAAATAATTTCTCCATAACTTTTTGTCTCTCCATATTAACATCAATTTAACACTGCTGTACAAAACATTTAATTGATATAAAACATCTGATACTTTAGTTGCAGAATTTAGTCTTCATTCAAGTAAAACACTGAGCTTGTCTAGCATAAGATTGGTGAATAACTATATCAGGATATAGCCTGTGCAGAAAAAAATACAACTGCTGTCTAAATGCTTGCAGCGATATCATATTCTATGTATTCATGGAAGTGTCCTGATGTCCAAATGGGACCATTTCTTAAGACTATTCAAGAAAATAATGATTATTCGATAAAAAGTAAGAAACTAATGTAGAACACAAATTAGTTTGCTTCATTTTATTAAAAATAATGCCTTGTTTATTCCAAATATGAGTGTCCATTTAAGAGATTAATGTAGTTTAATTTTCCATTTGAACTGTTAATTCAGATTCGCTTTTCTGAGTCTAGATAAAAGTATAAATGTAAATCAAATTTTCTGTTTTCTGGTACAGTTTCTGGTGCCATTAAACCCTACATTTCCAGAACTAGCAATTTGAGCTCCTTTTTTCTATTACATTGATTCATGGCTTTTGTATTCAGGACTGTTGCTTGGTTGGGAACCCACGTGAAGTTTAATTTCTTGTTAATTTTATAAGAAGCCTGGTAGCCATAGGGCAGGCTATCTGAATGAGTTTTATTAAGGGTGATTTTTGAAAGTCTTTGAGTCTGCAAGAAAATACTGCTTTGTTTATTCAGTAAATCAAACCAACCAGTACTTTCTAGCATTGAAATCTTCAAGCTGCGGTTGAACTGAAACACAAAGCTCTCTCTGAACTGTGGTTTTATGGAAGTAGGAGCTGACATGAGACGCAGATCAAGTGGAAGAGAGGAAGATGATGAGGAGCTGCAGAAACGCCGGCAACTGCAGGAGGAGCAGCTCATGAAGGTGGTTATAAGCTTGTCTTCATGCTGTTTCTGAACACCATCCAAAAAGTGCCCCTTTGTTTTCTGTAAGCCATTTCTACTAATGCCTCGATCAGCTTTATTTTATTGATTTTTTTTTTTTTTTTTTTAATTGCCATTTATAGCTCAACTCTGGTCTGGGACAATTGATATTGAAAGAAGAGATGGAAAAGGAGAGTCGCGATAGGTCAGCCCTTTCTGCCAGTCGTTATGATTCTCCAGGTAATTCATGTAGGCAATAAAGCTAATAATGAACAGCGAACAATGAACACCACATATACACATATGAAGCAGTCTCCCAGAAGAGACACCACTGGGAAGACCGCTTGATACGTGTATATGTGATGTTCTGTCCTGAAAGAGTGGCCTAATTCATTAGCCAGTTTTGTTGAGGAGAGGAGTGTCGTAATTGTTTTTTAATTAGAAGAAATATGAGGCTGAGGATTTTCAGGCAATTTTGAGGAGATTTTCTAGCATAGATAAGGAGTGAGGTAAAATATTCAGTGACTATTACATCACACATATGCTAATAGGCTGGGTTATTAAATTACAGTAATACATTTTGCTTGGACTGGTGGTTCCTACCACTGTTTAGTCTCTCTTCCCAGGGACAGAAAATCAGCAATATTTACCAGTGGGGCTGCATATTCCAAACACAGCCAATGTTTTGGCCTTGGCTGACATTTTGACTAGGGGTATTCTGTTCCAGAGCAAAAGCGCAAAAGTCAACTTTGGTTAATTGGTGGCTTAGATTCCTGGCCTCATTGCACATTTATATATATATCTGTGGCCTTCTCAGTTCTCCAGAGAAGGGCTTGGAGGTTTTATTTCACTCTCTTCATCCACTGATCATTGCAGCACAGCAGCTGTACTTCGAGCCAAGAAGGGACAAGATGAGTCTCTCTGGAGTCATCCACCGAAGTAGCTGCCAGGCAAACTAAGATTTCCTCATGTTCCCTGTTGTATAAGCGTGTTGCCTCTATTTATAGTCTTAGAGAGAATGTCTGTGGCTCTCCCTCACTACCTGTAATGTTTACAGGGCCAGAGTCTACCCGCTTAACTCAAAGCTTATGATTTTTTTATTAACCTTAGCACAGGTTGGAGGACTCCTTTACTGGAGATGTGTCCACCCCTTTTTGCAGTGGTGGTCAGTGCAGTCATCAGTTGCCTTTTGTGGAATCAGTGGTACCTTTCCCAAAGCTGTTTGTTGCTGGCAACAACAGTGCCACAAGTTCTACATTCCCTGCCCTTCTGTGCTAAAAATAACATTTAAAAAAACCAAAATTGCATTCTTATATGGAGGATTTTGTCTGAAGGGGCTGTATTAACTGTAGAGGTGCTATTGATCATTATGCTGACAATCTTCCTGTTTCTCCATCTTTTTTCTGTATTCAAAAACACACCCTTGACATTTCCGCATTGTCTTCATCTTGCTTATGCAATTTCTGAGGTCAGTGCAAATGCTAAGTTGAATGCCCCCAGATACCTTATTTCACTTTCATTTCAGATGAAAGCAGGAGTCACAGAGGTCTGTCGAATCATGTCATGTTCTCAGAAGTATCACATCATGTACAGGATAACTATAATTTCAGATCAGAATGCCAAATTCTCAAACTTGTTTGAGTTCACTCGGCACTGCCCATTCTGATTGTTCTCTTGGTGAAGTCAGTACCAAAACATCTGTCAATTACAGTGTTACAGGACCAAAACTAATAGCCTTTTCTCCTTTGTAGCAAAAAATGGCAAGCTGAAATCATGTGAATACAGAGAGAATGGAGTGTGCTAGTCATATGTATCTTGGCTTGTGCAGCAGCAGAAGCTGGGAGCATGAGTGGAGTAATAGTTGCAGTGGGAAGGATAGAAAGGAAATTCATGAACGGTTCAGAGGATACGATGATATATAAACCATGTGTGCCACTTAGAAGAGTGGAATTGAATGGACCTGCATGGGAGGCTTAACAGGGAACCTAGCCAGTCAAACACTGCTGATGTTGGATTCTCCTTGTCCTATAACTTGGTCCTATCATAAGGTGCACAGCAATACTTTATCTAGCTAAGGACTAAAAAGTTATTTTGGTCTGTTGTCTGATCCTTGAGCATTACTTTCAATTTAGTGGAGACCACTTTGATTTTGAGCCTGGCAAAATCACAGTGTCCCTTCTTGGTGACCTGCCACCATGGCATGATAAAGCTGCATGTAACTTACAGAATGTATGGAAGGTTGTGATGAGTCTGGGGCTGAGACGTTAGTTTCTTAAAGTTCGTGTGTCTCAGTTTCTCAGTTGGTTATGTATATGCTTAGCTCTTTCAACTCTGTTTTTTATGCTAGTTGATTCCTCAAATGTTCTTGTTTTTGAATTTCCATGGGATTTTTCCAGTAAAAGATTTTTCCCTTCCTCGTTCAACAGCACATGCTTCAGCCTCCAAAACCTCTTCTCTCCCTGGCTATGGAAAAAATGGACTTCACAGGGTAAGGAGATGGTGATTTTGAGAAGTGAAAGGTGGCTTTAATTATCCATGGTATTTATTTCCGTATTACCTGTATTGGATTTTCAGTTTGATCAAGCTTTCTTATAGGACCATCTGAAGTCAGACGAAAAATAATTTCCCTTCCCACAAACTATATTGTTAAAAAGGCAAGAAAACAATGCAAGAAATGTTGTGAAAATTGAGGGGGTAAAAAGGCTTAAAGCAATTTGTTACTTCCCATATACCAACCTGCTTGTGAAGTCATGAACTGTGAATTTATGTGCATGTCCCTCTTTTCCTGTTACAGCCGGTGTCTACAGATTTTGGTCAGTACAACAGTTATGGGGATGTGAGTGGTGGTGTTAGAGGTAAGGCTGAGGAGCCTTTTTACATGCCACTTCATTACTGAACATGTTATGATGTTTGATCGTTTCTGCTATTTTATTTTAAGGTTGTGGATGTGGTTACTTTGTATTTGCTCAGTATGTTTTAACTTCCTCTGGTAAACTCAACAATTAACTCAAACTCTGCAAATACCTATTTAAAAGTTTGGGTTTATTTTGCTAAATCTGCTTTGTGGAGCTGATCCTTGTTTATGCCAAGGGACATTGGTGCAAATGGAAAGCAGGTAACATATATTATCAGGAATACGTACTGAGTTCTGTTACGGTGTTTTCTTTTTCTGAAAATTACCATCCACTGCACAATCTGAAAGAATGTGCCACAGTGAAGAAAGGAGGATAATGCCTTCTAATCCCCATTGCTGCTCATGATTTTCATTATCGCTTTGAGCTAGATGTAATATCAGTCATTGCTTAATAAAAATTGACAATATTTATGAAAGTTATGAAGCTTTAAGAGTTAATGTTTTGAAATGGTTTGAGCTGAGAGAAGGAGAGAGAGAGAGAGGCAAGTTATCTCCAAAGTGAGATTGATCCCGACTATCTTAGATACCCTACGATCAGGCATCTTCTCTTGGTGCTTGTGTCTCTTTATAGACTATGGAGGAATCTAGACAGCTACCTGATGGCAGTGGTTAGGTGAGGTGAATCCTGCTCTACACATTTGAATTTTAGTTGGCTATTTATTCACTTGATTGTGGTTTTGTGTCTCTTAATATTTCCAAAGTGACTTGATTTTCCTGAATGAGAAGCCTGCTTGAAATGAAAAAGGCTGCAATGTTTGGAGCATTTGACTCTTTACAAACTAAAGTCCAAAAGTAGGAAGGTTGCTGGCCTTAGAGAATCAGGTGGGATTTTGAAAAGATCAGGTAGACCAGAAGACACAAGGATTATGTGGTAGATTGTGACTGATTCCTGTTCTTCCACACTCTAAAGCTGATGAGATTTCTCTTTTGCTTTTCAGATTTCCAGGTAGAGTACGGGTTTTCATCAATCAACTGACAACAGAACTAAAAGCATCTACTTTCTTGTTGAAGTTTGAATTTCTGTTACAGGGAAGGGTTTCTTAGGACAATAGCTTTGATTTTCCTGCATGTTTAAGCATAATCACCAATGTAGGCTCTTATCAACAAAAACCAGGCACAGCCTCAGATTCCTTCTTGTTACCTTCCCAGAGCTGGGTTGAGACAGCTCACACCAGTTCTGTGACTTGCTCTGTAAAATCCACTGTCTGTTGATACATGAGTTATCTGTAATAGTCCTCCCTGGACAGCTGACGGTGGATTTATTTCCAGCCTCTCTAGTACCAACCCTAGAGACATATAGAAAGTCTCTTCTGGAGGCAATTTTCTCCTATACCAGGAGCATTGAACTCCTCATTTTTACCCTGGAATTTGCTCTCCAGACAAGATGGCTGATCAATAGGTTTCAACAGTGCTGCCATCACAGATGAGCCAGTAAGAGATGTGCTTGCAAATATAAACCCTTTTACTCCAAAACCTGTCTGCAGGGTTTTTTCCAGAATGGTTTGAGCCTGGCTGGCTTCCCAGCACAATCACAATATGAAATGGCAATTTAAGAAAGGGTTTAATTACTTGGATAATTTTGTTAATGGTGTACCAAAATCATGATGATTGGAAAGAGAATAAGATTATGGGAGGAGAGAGGAGTTGTCCATGTATTGTGTTCAAAGTGTTACTTCGATAGGAACAGTACCTGTGTCAAAACAGCACCCTTTTACCCTATCCCTGTTTGTGTTCATAGTAAAAATTTCCCATTGTAGAGACAAAAAAAACCCCTCAGCTGATACAGTAAGTGACAAGAAGGACAGCACAGAGGTGTAAGAGTGCTTTGTATGCTGTGGGGTGGGATCTGAATTAATGCTTCTGTGTATTTGTCCAGAGAAGAACCCTACTTAGTCACTGGGGCGGGAAAGGGCCCACCACTCTCTTGGGGTCCCCAGGTCCACCTGGGAAGTGATGTTAGTAGGCTCAGTGGGGAGCTATTGCCAGCCTTAGCAGTGAGAGAAGGCTGTGGTGGCAGAGGGGACCGAAGGATCCCTCTGCATGCCTCAGAGAAGTGGTAAACAGTAGCCATGGCAATGATCTATATGATAAGACTAAATATTAAGACTTGAAGGAAGTCTCAGGGCAAATTCACCTTTGTTTTCACCACTACTTGAGTGCCTTTACCCTCTGTGTGTGTAACCTATGTGTCTGATGTATACCTGTATCTGATGCAGTCCCTTCCGGATGGTCATGTCCCTGGGATGAGAATGGACAGAGGAGTATCTATGCCTAACATGTTGGAGCCAAAGGCAAGTGCAGATGTTATTCACTTTCCTTCAAGACAGTGAAGATTTGACTGTGAAATGTAGATAAAATACGGGAAATGTCTTAGTTCCCTTGTTTCTCTTTACCTCACCTCAGTCCCTGCTCCTTATGTGCCAAACCTCTCCCTTTGTTCTGGGCTTTGCCTGTTACAGGTGTTAGTATTTAGGCAGGCTGAGGGCAGCCCAGGTGTGCTTCTTCGGTTAAGGAGGCTTTTCCAGAGACAAAACAAAGATACTGAAGATGATCAATAACTAGTTCTCTGTCAAGCTTCAGGCCACTAGCCGAAACAGCAGGCCAAGTTTAATGGGAAAGTCTCAGATCTGTCAGATTGGAAAGGTGATGCAGAATATTGTGGCTCACAACACACTGTTGAGGCTGTCTTAATTTAAAAATTAATGAAATACATGGATCTTTGTTTCAAATTGGAAGTTAGAAACCTACGTGTCTGTTTGGATCTGTTCTTTAGCCCTCAGCACTGTTAGCCTGACACCTTTCAATAATGTTGACTTCCCTATATAAGAAATTCTTCAAGAGATTTATTGGAAAAAGAGGCAATGTCAGCTGAATATAATTTAAGATATAAATTAAAATGCTTTTGCAGCTATGTCTAGAGATGTCTGAGTCAAAAATGAACATAATATATAGAGGGGATTCAATGAGGGCTGTGTTTTAAATCTTATAACTTTCTCTGTTGCTGGTGAACCTTCCAAGAAATCATGATTTTGCCAAAGTTACAAGGATCAGCATTTCTGCAGTTAAGTGAGGAGCTCGTTTTGCAAACCAGATTACTACTTGTGCTTCCGAGTCACCTCAGACAAACTGTACAAGGCAATAACCCTAGCTTTATAAGCTGAGACCCCAGTGCAATGTATATTAACAAGTGTTTTTATATATTGTATAAATATTGTTGGACATCCCCAACTCCTGAGATACTACTTTTTATTCCAAATGATTTTTCTTTCAGTGCAATAGAAATTCTTACAGCCACCACTGCTGTTGATGCACCCAGTGATTTGGAATGTTATTTTGGGTGACAAATTCTGTCAGTATTATTAGTGATATAATTTATGGGAATTTTCATGAGATAATAGGTCACTTTCTGTTGATGTTTATAAAGATGATGCCAGACCCTCAGCTTGTGTGAATTGGCAGTATTTTTATTCATGTCAGTGGTCCAACACTTAACTTAAACCTGGTGAAGTAAAAGAAGCCATCTCAAAGTCAGCATGAAACGTGTGAAAAGTGAAAATCAGTAAACTTAAAAATGACCAAATCTTACCGAATGGTTCTCCAGAAAGGACAGAATTTGTGCATCCTGCCACCCCAGATTGAGACATGCCTTGTTGTGAATATCTAAATATAAAATGTACTTATGACCATAGACCTTGACTTAAACTCTGCCTGTTTACATATGGAAAGTTACATTCTAGTTTCCTATAATGCTGTATATGGTAGCTTGTTTCCAGTATCAAACATAAACAATGTAATTCGAAGTATAGACTTAATTGTACAGTTGTGACAATGTCAGAATCTCCTAAGAACCATATCTTACAATTGGTATGTAAGCACACGTTATTTAAATTATTATTACTTACAATAAACTCAGTGGTGTGTTCATTGATGCCTGAATCTTATTTATTATATTTCTGAAAAGTTCTTGGGGATAATTGTTGACAATGGAATGAACTTAATTGCCTAGTCCTGCACAGAAGTTGATTAGGTTGACTTTCTTCTGATGTTAAAATAATTGAATTAATAGCATTTGATAATAGCTCAGCTGTCTCTCCAGGAGAGTTTTGGAGGTCTCACTCTTGTTCCCAGTGGGCAAGTAAAACAAGACCCATAAATAACAATAAAGGCTGAGCCAATCCCCACTGAAGTCTGCAGAAGAACTTAATTGACTTCAGTAGGGGTTGGATGAGGACCTCACTGGGAATGCTGTTATCCTACTCTGCAGAGACATGCAATGAGAAGGGCTATAGGGAGGCTCTGTCAGATGGAACATGAGCTCTCCTAGGTCATTCTAGGCATTCATGGAAGTGTCTGCCCAAGGAAAAAAATCGTAAAACAGAGTTTTATTTGCTAGGGATGATTGCAGAAACTGATTTTAAGGTACATGGTTTTCTGAAATCTTTTCTAAGCAGCATTGTTTCCATTGGATTAAACTGATTTGAGACCCACTGACAGTAAACATTTTACTTCAAACAAAGAGCCTGTAAAGTGAAAGTAAAATCATTTATGTATTCAGGAATTGGTTATTGGCCAATAACTGATTTGTGTAAGTTCTGGACATTCTTTGCAATGTAAAGGGAAAGCAAGGGAAATGTTAATGGGAGATGTGCTGGACACATACTCCTCCAAAGGTGTGTAAGACAATATGTCTACAAAAGTATTTCCTTTAATCCATGTATGTGTTGCACAGCCAGCAAGCACAGTGGGCAGTTGTTTGAATTCTTTAACTATCCAAAAAGGCAAAGAAAATCATGTGATGAATTTTGATGAATGCAGTGGCCCACACTAATCAATATCTTACTTATTCAGAGTTGCTGCTTTTTCTGATGTACTTTCATGTGGTTCATTTTTAAAAGTCCACTAAGTGTCTGTTTCCTGAGAGCTGTCCACACTTTGGCAACCATCAGTTAGACGAATGAGTGCCAAATATATTTACCTTAATAAACTCTTAAGTTTATACATTGCTGGATGAGAAGGTATATTGACTAGAGAGAACTGTCTGACCAAAGTCAGCTGTATCATATGCACCATAAAAATCAGCGGGGTGGGCAAGTACACAGTGGCTCTATAATATGAGGCAGTTTGATACTAAACAAGTTCTTGCTATGTCCAGATTAGCTTGTCTTTCATGCAACTTTAGGGGAAAAAGTGCTGTGATTTCCTTTGGAAAAGAAACCAAATGTTTGTGTGGTTATGAAAATGAGACACATGGTGTTCTTTTTGCTTTAGAATGTAAATACATCTCTTTTTCCCCCTTTTATACATTGTTAACAGATTTTTCCATATGAAATGCTCATGGTGACCAACAGAGGGCGAAATAAAATACTAAAAGATGTAGACAGAACCAGGCTTGAGGTAAGAGAAGCAAGTTCCTAAATGCTCTTTCCTGATGAAGTTGTTTGTTGTTGCACACTTGAAAGCTCAAACACTGAAGTGTGGGTCCTTGTTAGACTGGGAAGATTTCTTAGCACTAAGCGTGGAAGAAGGAGTCAGGGGGAGGAAACAGCCACAGCTCCGTGAACAGTGCTGGGCCAGGAGTCCCGCATCTCTGTCTCCCTGCTTCTGGACTGAGCTTCTCACAACCCTGTTACGTTTTCAAGCAATTAATTACATTCTTGTAAATTGGTAAAAAGCCCAAAATAGGTGACGTGTTTTGTAGACATAGAATCCATGTTGGAATGGAGCAATACTTTGTTTAATCTTGGATCATTTCTTAGCTAAGAGTCAGTGTCAGCCATCCTTGAGGATCAAAAGTCTAACTTTCTTTAACTCATCCATGAGTCCTGTGAGTTAGTTAGACTGGCTGATATCCAAAAATATGAGGATTTAAATCTCTACCAACAAATAAATATTGTTTACAGCTTTGTGGATTAGAAAGACTTAAGCAGCCCAGTGGAAGGCTGAGGATGTTTAAGTCGTTTGTAGTTAGCGAATCTTCTGTGGAGATGAATGAAAGGGGCCACAAAAATTTGGGTAAGTAACCATTTATCCACATTTTCAGACTAGTAGATATGTGATCACTAATCAGAATTCAACGCTGTGTTACATTAGTGCCACAGGAAGACACTTTCCCCATTCAGTACATTCTAAAGCAGCTGAACAAGAAGTAACTTGTGCACAAGACAGCACCAAAAAAATGTTTCCTTGGCAGTAATGTGCTGGACAGTTAGTTGGGCCAGACATCTTCCTTCTTAGAACTTCAAATGTGGCATGTCAACCTGCAGCCCTTCTGCAAAGCTCTCCGGCATCTGTTTGAACTTCCATATGTACACAGAGGTGACTAGCTAAAGCCTGGGACAGGGGCGTGCAGGAGCTGGTTTTGTTCTCTGGTCTATCACTGCATGTTGGGTGACTTCAGACAAATCATTTTCTGTCTCTCGCTTATTAAGCAACTGAAATAGTTCTCCTGATTTCCTTTGTAAACTTCTCAGACTTAACAAATTGCAAGATTTTATTGATTCATTGAGCACCCGAGTTCATAAGGAGTTGGATATGTGTATTGCCAAAGCATTATTATTTCCTGCAATGGCTCTTACACAGCGACATGAAATCCCTAAGGCACTCCTGTCTCCTGTTGTGTCTCTTTGGCTTTGACTGACCATTGCCTTTTCTCTTTTTTTTTTTCTCCTTTTGTTTTGTTTTTTTTTTTTTAAAGCGTCACTTAGCACCTGAAGTTTTTCAAGAAATATTTGGCATGACGATACAGGAGTTTGACAAGTTACCTCTCTGGAGACGCAACGACATGAAGAAAAAAGCAAAACTCTTTTAATCTCCCTTTAAACAAACCAACAAAAAATGATGCATAGGATATTGTATCATACAGTCCAAACTATTTGGCAGCAACTACTTATCCACCAAACAGGGGGAATGACATAGTGGCACCTCTGTACACAGCAACTGAACAAGATGAACATTTGCCCTCCTGGAACATAGGGAGAAAATATCTGGACTCAGAAACAACAATGATAGTTTTCAGAGGTGTCGACCTGTTACATGATATTATACAAGATAGGAAACTGTTCTGTTCTTCTCCCTCAGTGATATTCCCTTTACTTCTCTCCACAATATGATGGACTTTATTGCTAGAGCCAGGAAGTGCCCTTAGGATGCCTTGTAGACTAAAGTAGTTGTAACCACTCCAAGAACTGGAAAAGAATATATATATATAAAAGTATATATATATATATAGGTATACATGTTTGCGTGTGTGCGCACATATATTTATATCTATCCATCTATCTATGTGTGTGCGTGTATATATGTGTATATACATGGAGAGGAAGATAGATGCTCTGTAGTGAAGGAGAAGCCCTTTGTAACATATCCACATGGTCACATTAAGTCTTTCACACAACTGTTTCTTAACTGGCACTCTTTTGAAATGGCATCTTCTTTGTGTGATACAATCTGCAAAGGTGGGCGCCCTGCTCACTTACAGGACATACCAGTTGAATTTCTGGAAAATGGACTCCTTGTACTTGTATATATTTGCTAGGATATAGGAAGTGAATTGCTGTGTCTGTTGTCAGTCTTCCCTCTTCCACACTTTCTGCTTGAATTAATAACGCTGGAGCTTAACCAGTCATTTGAATAATTTAAGATCACTTAAGTAATGGGAATGATGGAGAAGAGTCAGTTTTCTTGTAATTTAGTCCAGGAGATGGGTAGATGGGGTGGGAGTGACAGAGTGAGAAAATGCTTTTTTAAATGTGCCCTGGTTCACATCCAGAGATTTTGTGACAGACTCCCTGCTAGTAATTACTAGTACAGCTCATCAGACTGCAGTGGAGTTGTAGGATTTTACATCAGCAGGGAATATGGTTCTCTGCAAGCTAACATGCAAATTCATCCCTCTTAGGGAGGAATGTTTATGAATTAAAAGGTACCATCAAGGTGCCATGCTCTGCCAATAGAGGCTTTTTGATTAAATTGCAGTTGCTGTTGTCAATATGGCACAGTGCATGGGGCCAAGCACTCTTTTTAGTTAATGTAGTTTTTCACTTGTGCTTGGAAAAGAGGGCACAGACTTTTTTTCCCCTCTCTTGAAGCGTCAAAGCTCCAGCCTTGGTTATTTTTATTTCCCTTTGTGCCTGACTTGGTTTTTGAAGACAGAGTAATCATGCAAGACAGTTTCTAAGCTGCATTGAACTACTTATTGCTTTCAGTCTTCTTCCAATATGCTGCAGCTTAAAAAACTGCCTGTATATACCTTAACTGCTTCTGGGAAAGTCCTATACAGAGGAGGACATGAGCACCAAAGTAATTGAATGAATGCATTGTGGCTGCAAGGTCAGCTTTTTCTCTTCCTTGGTGCTTAACTGCCAATGTGTACTGCATTAACGAGCCTGACTCCTGATACGGGAGAGGGTCATTTAGGTTCTGTGTCTGTCAGAGAATACCAAGGTTTCATTTTTAATGCAGAAACTTTTGGCACTGGAGACATCAGAACCTTTGTATTTTCTGTTATATGAGGCATTGGTGTCAAAATCTGAAAGTCAGGAAGGGGAAACAGTCCCGTGTAGTTGTGAGATTCAGTATCACTGTGTTGAGTTCTCTATATCACCAAATGGCATTTCACCATGAAATGTGCAGGACAGCCCAAATCCTGCCTCTTCTTTGCTGGTTTAGGAAGTCCTGTTGCAACAGATCACTGTGGTTCCTTTGATAAAATCTGAGTTGAAGATTCAGTGTATGAGAGACAGAAGGGGTCAGCACCTGTTCCATGTCCCTAGAGCTAAGGGAATGATGAGTCTGTGGGACAAGCTGAGGAATAATATACCATGCAGAACTGGCATCACAGTCCCCACTGAACAGAAGTCCTCAGTGAACACTGTGACACACGCAATTGTGAGTAAGCTCTCTGGACATTCCTGAGATTGCAGCAAGGATCGGTTCAACATGTTTCATTTCATTTTTCAGAACAAGCATCTGAAAGGGTTTTAGAGGAACACTTGAGAATCAAGTGGGAATGTTAGGGGCACTGGCAGTTTGAGATGCATTTTTGAGTGACTGGTGAAACCAAATCCATACGACGAAAGAACAGCAGTGTTTTACCGTCACAGGCTTTGTGAATGCTAGTGTTTGTCACCTGCAGGATGTGGCTTAACTTTGAGATGAAAATTTGAGTTTTAATGCATTTAAAGTATTAAAATTCTCCAAATTTTGTCCTCATTCTTTAGACAATACTGTGCCTCTCAAACATAGTAGGCATTACGGGTCTTTTAGCCCAAGTCACCTTGACAATAAATCTTTTTGACCTTAAGACTTGCTCTCTCAAGGATGTGAGCTGCCAGCTTGCATTTTTCTGTCCCCATCTCTAGATTACTATTGAACTTCTCACAGCGTATATGAATACAGTACCCAGTCATTTCAGAAATGACTAAGCCAGGTTGTTTTCTCTTCTCTCAAAAAAAAAAAAAAGTTTAAAAAAAAAAAAAAAAGAACCCAGCCTCCTAGCCTGTGAAGAATGACAGGGTAATTTGTATCCCCCTCATCAACTGAGAATTTAAAACTGCAATTGCAGCTTGGGAAGGAATGAAGAGAAGCCAGCTTAGATGTTGCAGAAACAATTGATCTCTAACTGGATTTTTGGGCCACTGCTGGTTCACATCTCACTGGGTGGAGCATAGTCAGTCAGTTCATAGCCCTCTGCACTAAACACTGCTTTATTTTTGATTGAGAACATAAAGGGCTTTCTGAGCTTCATTTTCATGCCTATAGTTAATTCCCCTTAACTATCCCAACAACCTACATGTAGACACACCCAAAGAGATCGCCTGTCCATAAAAACCACGCTGCAGCCAGCCACAGGGTGTGTGTGTGTTTTCTGCAGCAGGCTGTTAGCGATTGTCACTGCAACATTTTCTGTTCTTTCATCTGGTCTTCCCACCTAATAAAAACAGAAATGTAGCCCCAGGGAGAATTTTCTTTGTAAGCAATGAATCATTTTCCTAGTATCAATCGAGTAGCATTTTCTTGGGCAGTTCTTGTAATTCCCCTCTTCAATATTCCCTTGAGACATGCAGGGGTTGGACTAGATGATCTTTAAAGGTCCCTTCCAGCCCAAACCATTCTATGATTCTATGAATATGCCTTAAGTACATGCTTACATTCTTCTATCTCGTGCAAAGTGTTTGAGCTTCTGATAAAGTCTCATCAAACTTAGTGCTGTCAACAGAACGTCAGTGCCAAGAGTACTGAAAACTGATTGCTTTTGTCTTGTTTTTTCCCCTTTTCTGCTTTAGGAGTGATATAAGAGCAAAGACCTGTCAAAACATGGCAAAATACCCACACATGTGTGCAAAATGGGATTACGTACACATGCAGGTTCTCAAACAGAGGTGCAGATTGTTGTGGTTTAACCCGGCAGGCAGCTAAACACCACACAGCTGTTCGCTCACTCCCCCACAGTGGAATGGGGGAGAGAATCAAAAGGAAAAAAAAGGTAACACTTATGGGTTGAGATAAAGACAATTTAATAGGACAGAAAAGAAAGGGAAAATAATAATAATGATGATAGAAGAATATACAAAACAAGTGATGCACAGTGCAGTTGCTCACCACCCACTGACCGATGCCCAGCCAGTTCCTGAGAAGTGGACCCCCAGCCAGCTTTTCCCCTAGTTTATATGCTGAGTGTGAATATCCCTTTGGTCAGTCGGGGTCAGCTGTCCCAGCCGTGTCCCCTCCCAACTTCTTGTGCACCCCCAGCCTACTCGCTGGTGGGGTGGGGTGAGAAGCAGAAGAGTCCTTGACTCTGTGTAAGCACTGCTCAGCAGTAACTAAAACATCCCTGTGTTATCAACATTATTCTCATCGTAAATCCAAAACACAGCACTATACCAGCTACTAGAAAGAAAATTAACTCTATCCTAGCCGAAACCAGGACAACATGTAGCACGCACACTCCCCATTTGGAATTGAGATACTATGTGAGTAGTTAACCTGGAATTTCCAAATAGTGTGCAGTGTTGAATAGATAGCGGTCATTAAGTTATGAAGGTTGTCACTTGTCTATGTGCTTGTACCTGCAGAGCTTGTGGATACGTTGATGTATTGAGTGTGCAAAAGGCAGGGTCAGTTTCCCACATCATGGAAGTGCCAGGTTGGACACAAGTGATACCATTTAAAAGGCATCCTCAGGCATATGTGGACATTTGCAGCACCCATCCCTGGCAGTGCTTAGATGGAAGGGTAATACCCTGTGCAGTAATCTTCATATTAATGGGGAATCCAGAGATCTGACTTACTGGGTTTTGTGCCCTCTCCAGATACCAGTCTGATAATTTCCATATGAACAAGTGGAGAACTGTTCTGCGTTACAGTGGGAACAGCTGGCCATACCCTCTATACCCGTGCCTTAAATTAGTGTAAGCTCCAGCCTACTGTGAGTCAGAAGTTGAAATAAATATGTTGAAATAAATATGTTGTTCATCATCTCTGAAGATAGTAGAATTATTCCAACTTGAAGAGCAGATTTGGAAATTACTAAACTGTCCACTATTTCTCAATGAAGCAATGTGACCTATTGTGGCTTCGGTTCAGGAAGCTGCATGTAGCATCTCAACTCTGCCAGTGTCCTATCCCAAACCTGCTAAACTTTTTGTACAACTGGAAGAGTAAGTTCTTGTGAAGTTTGCTCACAGGATTTCTGTTTTTTAAAATTTTTTTAATTGTTTGTGATCATCTCATGCTGGTGTCATTTAAAACAGGTTTTAGTGGCATCTCAGAAACATACTTGTTTTCAGTTTGGTTTGTAGCCTTTCATTAAATATGGTTTGTGATGCGTTGTGGACATAGCCGCAGCGTGCTGTGAAAGGTTAGACTAGGAGAACAGTACGTTTCTTAAAAGCTGTATGTGGGACGAGATAGCTCTGTGGCTCCAGTAGTGCTTTTACTTCTGTCAAGACAGATGTCATCTCTCCTTACAAAGTCCTATAGTCCTAAGTCTGTGGGCCTAGCACTGAAGTGCTCGTTGCCCTTTCCCTGTTGCAATTTGGAGATCCTTTCTCAGCCATGTAGTTCAGCTGTCCTGCTGTTCAGGGGAGGTCATTAGGGATCTCTTTTGTAAAAGTTTGTTATGCTGAAGTTAGACACATTTTGAAGTGAAATCCCTTTCCACAAGCCATGCTTCTCCTGGTCAGGTAATATCGATGGATGGAGAAGGATTAAGTTCTGGGAAGGAGGAGGGCTGGCATAAGCTGGATTTCTCCAGGGTTTGCCAGGGTGGTGTTTAGAAGAAACAGACTTAGAAGAAAACGCAGGCACGTGCCTGTGGTACCTATT